GAAGTTTGTACATGGAAAGTCAATCTTAACAAAAGCAGTCTGGGTTAAGACAAAGTAGGAGGGATGCACTACAGAGCATGGACTCATTTTTTTCTTGAGTGCAGGGATCATTTATGCTTTAGAATAAACTATGCAAAATTAACTGGAGTGAAGTAAACTACTCACCAAGTTAATGCATTGCATAGGCTTTAATTTTGAAAGCAGTCCTGATTTGCAGACTTGAAGGACCTATGGTAAAAATTACCAGTCTGGATTTGTGCTATCAGTTTTGTCTAACTGACAGAATTAAGAGTAGAAATAATGAGGATTTAATAATTTAAAAAAAAAAAAAAAAAAGTTTAGAAGTGAATTTATCAGTGCAGTTGATTTTTGCAATTCACAAAATGTCATCTTTCTGTAGAGTGTGTTCTAATGACCTGTATTGCCATCTAGACTGTTGTGCTTCATTGCCTGTTGGTTTGAAATCTCTTGTCCTCTAGAAGAGTCTGCACACAATTCAAACTACATCATCTTTAATTAAAATAAACTTTATATTTTTTTAAGCCACCAGTGAAGACTACAAACTCTTGGAAAACATGAATAAGTTGACTAGCTTGAAGTACTTAGAAATGAAAGATATTGCTATTAACATCAGTAGAAATCTGAAGGATTTAAACCAAAAATGTAAGTACACCAAATAAAGTAGGGGTGTCATGAATGGCTCACTTGTTTGGGAAATAAAGCATCTTAGAGTCAGAAGATTCACACTCCATTTGTGCTGAAGGAAATAAAACTCACTGATATAGATGTGCTGCTATGCAATACCAGTCTTGTATATTTTTTAACAGCTTTAGACTCTGTATACAGACTACTGTAAGAGAAAATACATCTGAATTTGTGTCCTGGTTTACCCCAGATTTTGGATCTGATAGGAATAATGCTTTTTCTAATTCACGTTCTCTTGTTACTTGTGTTAGAGACTAGACAGTACTTTTAAACATTTAATATTTTCCTGGAACATGGCTGTCAGAATCACCACTTAATTTTGGGGTGGGAGAGGGCACCTTTTGAACTGTGTTCTCTGAAGAATGTAATAAGAAATTCTTGTATTTCAAATATGAGCTGTTTTTTGGAAGTGCATTACTGAGAACTGACAGATAAAATTTTTATGCCTTTTTAAGATGCTGATCTCCAGCCATATCTGGAACAGATAAACCTAATTGAGGAACAGGTTGCAGCTCTGGAGCAGGCAGCTTATAAATTGGATGCATATTCCAAAAAACTTGGTAACTATCATCCTCCACTGTTAAGACCTAGCAGCATAGTGCCTTGCAAGAGAATTTAAAAAGAAAGAAAGTAAACTCTGTTTTGTTTAACACATCTCAGGTATAGAGTTGCCTATGCTGCTTTTGAGCACAAACATTGTGTGTGAAGTGATAAGCATTGGGAAAAGATTTGTGTAATGGGTTATATTTTTGTGGACTAGTACAGGTGGTCTTTAACTACTGCTTCTTAGTGAGGCTTGATTTCTTTTTTATGGTAGGTACTGACTTATATTTTAAAGACTGATGTTTAACCTTGCAAATTGAGGGATTCAATTGTATATAATTATATAATAATGTTCCACTGGTCACCCAATTCCTCTTGGCTTAAATTAACATTATTTTCTGACTTAAACACCAGATTCTTAAAAAAAAATATTGTACAATTATATTTGCCTAAAATGCAGTAGAAAAAAAGGATCCTGGATGATACGGTCAATTAGCTTACAGGATGCAAAGCTTTTACCTACCCAGTACTAAAATACCATTTTTCCTTCTGCAGAAGCCAAGTACAAAAAACTGGAGAAACGATGAAATTTCAATGCTCTGTAAGCTGGAGCTGGGCAGTGAGTCGGACTTGTCTCTGGTTTTGCACAACAGCAATTCTGTATATTGACAAGGATTTGGTTTACAGCTGACATGGAGACTGGGACTTTTTCCAGCTATTGGTAGGCTATATTCAGGCTTAAGGTTGAATAATATTTTCCTCTTCTCAAGAGGTACTGTTGCCTCAGTTCTGCAGTGAAAAGTAGAAGTTTGTCTTTAACTCATGTCGATATTGTCTATTTTTGTGTTAGTCCTGTTTTCCACATGAAATACTCAGTCTAGGGAAAGTCTTCAATAATCTGTAAAGACATTTTCCCTTAGTAGAAGCAGGACCTAAACTTTAATTTTTCCTTCATTGAGCTCTGTGTTGGGAAGATACCTGGACCTTTGGACTTAATGGGTGGAGTATTGAAAACACTTCATTTTGGTGTCCCCTTTTATCTGCTTGAAATAGAAAGACTAATTACAAATTTACAATAAACTTGCTGCATATATTTCTCTGTAATCTCAAGTTCTGTTGGAAAGATTACGCAAGCTGTTTTTTTTATTTTTTTCAGAGGAATCTGTTAATAAAGACAAACTCCTTCAAGCTACTAGGGATGATACAAGAGAACATGTTTTAAACTCTGCATCAAGTATTCCTGCAATTATATTCTTTGACTGTCTGGACCTCTGGTGAAGTTTCAAGACATATTACTTTATCACATGCTCAGTTGACTTAGCAGATCGTTTCTCTACTTCACCGGTGAATTTTGATCCTAGTAGTTTTTGAAGTGGCACACCTAGCACAAAAATCTGCTTCTCTACTAGGTTAACAATGTTCCAAATTGCTGATTTGGCAGAGCCGTTTGAACTGAACAGTTATTAATCTTACTCCAAGGATATATTTTCTGTACCTATTGACTTTAAGTAATTGGAGCTGGCTTTTGAGTGAGTTTAGTTGAAGACAGTACAAGTACCGTATGTAGGAAAGAAGTGGTTCAAATTTAGAGTGTTTAAAAGAATGTCTTGTCAGGTGCTAGTGTGATAAAGATCATCATGCTGTCAGGCTCTGTACAGCCACTGTTTAGTCAGGATTGATACTTTTCCCTACTGCTCTTTAAAAAGAAGCAGATGACTCTTGAGAGCCTTCACCATCCCTTTGAAAGTCCTGGGTTTGAAACAGAAATAGCATTTCTGTGCTCATGGTGTTACCTGGCAGGACTGCAAGGGGACACAGGAAGGTGCCATGCCAGCAGGCAAAACCACAGATCTTGCAGGAAAGGCACAGTATGGACCATATCCTGTTCCTGTTGAAGAAGTTGCTTTTCTGTGTATACAAAATACACTGCCATTTTAAAACTACAAGGATGAAAACCTCCAGGGGCTCTGAAGATGGAAATCCTTCTAGCCATGCACTGTCACCACGTGCTCAGTTGTTTTCAGGTAGGAAAGGTAAGAAATAGTGAGTTCTTTCACAAACTCTTGAGTATTCCAACTCCAGGAAGCAAAAATGAGAGAACGGACTTGTCCCATAATAGACTTTCTTTTTGAGAGGAAATTTTAGAGATGGACTTCCTGTCTGGCTGGAGGACTGTGTGACAGTGGCATCCCAGTTAGGCTAAGAGCTGAATACATGTTCCCAGTTATGTCTCTGAGTAACTGTTACCCCCCTTGCCCAAGGGACCTCTGTATCACTGGTAGAATCCACATCATGTCAAGGATAGCAGGTCCTTGGAGAGTAGCACCATGGAAGAGGCATAGGTGTGTGTGAACAGCATTGTACTGGGGAAATGTGGAGTCAGTCCAAAAGCAAAACCACAACTTGGTTACTGCTCAGAAGTTTCACCTGGAGCATCCCTGATAAATTCCACAGGAGGTACAAAAAGAGATTAAATCTGAGTTCTCCTTTGCAGTGTTTTCTGGTGGAAAATAGAGTAAGAAAATTGTGGGTTCTTAAAAGGAGGAACCAGAGGAAAACAGAAAAGTGAGGGCTGATGGATGAGAGTTCAGGGGCAAAGTGTGTCATCAAAATGGTATTGATGGCTCATCTTGACGGCTTAGACTGCAACTGCAAACCAGGGGATGAAAATCAGCTTAGCAAATAACAGCTCTTTTAGAAGAAGCAGAAGAGTTCAGTTCCAGAGGAGGATTTTTTTTTTTTTCCAGCATCTTGAGACAGTTCTGCCCAGCTGCTCTAACAGGTTATTCTGAAGTCATTCAGGTTTCAGAGCAGTACTTTGTGGAGATATCCACAGTGTTCAGAATCATGGCTTTAGCCCTCCTCTAATCCCAAAGCCCACTTCATACCATGGTGGAGTCTCCAGGTGCTAAAGCTGTTTTGCTGATCTGCGTTGGCTGCCTCCTTGACTTTTCAGCATGAAGATAACAAATAAGAAAGCTACACTCATTTGTTTTGGCTATTTTAGTAGTGGCACAGCTAAATAGGAAGTACATTGCTTTTTTCTTTTTCTCTGGTGAGGGAATTTATTTCTGAGATTCTGTGGAATTTGTGGCTTTTTGCCTTTGCAATGCCATGCTAGTAATGCATAATATATCTAGCTGATTAATCCTTGAAAGGAAGCAAGTTCTGTCTGTTTCACATAAACAGTTAATGACATTGTGGTAATATTACAGTTCTGTGTTTTCCCACATAATACAGATTCAGCTCTCTTTCTTCACTGTAATCACTATATATTATACATTGATGGGAATGTGATCAAGGCAGGAAATGCCAGCCATTGATCTGTACATATATGCTTGGCAAGTCATATAAACTCTACTTATGAAATTTTTCCTGATTGTAACATTGCTGTAGTGATCTTTATGTACTTCATATAATACTGGGAAGATGCAAGCTGGCATTCATCTAGGAAAAGGCACTAGGGGGCAATCCTGGTATTATTTAATTTGTCCTTTTTCTCCCCAGTGAGCAGCTCTGTAACCACAGTTGGGGTTCTAATGGGTCCCATAGGGTCAGTGCAGCTTTATCCCAAGTTGGGAATGGATGTTTATAGATCATTAACCAGCTCATTCTTCAAGCCATAGTACATTTTGTATGAGTGAAATGAAGCAGTCAGATGTGTACAGGACTTGAAAGAGATTTTGGAGTATAAGCTTTGTGGACACTAGTTTTTCACTAAAAGATGTTCTGGAATATCAGAAAAACAACAATTCAGTATACTGCTTCTTTATTTTGCAATATAAATTGTAATTTCACAAACCCTCATTGTAATCACAGAAGAGAACCCATCTGCCCAATCATTGATAAACTCTATCCCTACTACAGTAGATGGTAAGTCTTGGGTCACAAATACAATAGATGATCATTATCTTCCACAAAAAAACCCTCGTTTTATGTTTGGCTTTACAAATACAAAAAAACCCGGAAAGTACAGGGAGAGGTACTTGAAGCAGAGTTTGTGAAGACCCTGGAGTACAAGCAGTCATTCCTGCTGGAACCCCTCAGGTGGTAAGGACTGCAGCAGCAGGGCCCTCAGAGAACTAGTGGAGATGGCCTGGCATGTCAGGAGCCAGACAGGAACCACAGCTGGGTGAGGTAGATGCAGAGAAAAATCTGTAATTTTGCACAGGGTACTGTGTCCTTCCCTGTGTGATTGTATATTCTGTTAAGAGCTGGCTGGGGTGATTCTAAAAGCACCATACAATTTTCTAAGCACTCTTCTCTCCATAAATTATCTACCAAATTGTCTGAGTTTCATTCTCAGCAGATTGGGGAATGTCATTCAGCCAGAGCACTCATGAGTTTGGGAGCTGGAAACTGTCTTGGCTAACGTGGAACAAAAGAGACCTCATAGTGTCGGGGCATATTTGCCAGACTGGTGATTACTGGGCTAATGTCAATGTCTTTGTGATCCACAACTGGCTTCAAAGTAAAGTTCTGCAGGATGGATGTTAAAAATATGAATATCTCCATCCGGGCCAGACCTTCTCCTGCACAGATGCGTTTTCCTAAAACAAAAAAAAAAAAAAAAAAGAGGTGACAGTGGAGTATTTTGCTGATAACTGATTTTAGCCACAATTCCATGAAAGTCCAGACATCTCAGAATGCACAGGCACCACTGCAGTATTTTGGGGAAGCATGAATGAAACTAGGAACTACAGATCTAGAACAACGAGAGCGCTCAGTGTGTGAAGGCAATTTGAAGGCTCCAGTTGCTCAAGTTGTGCTGCTCTTTGATGGTTTGAGAGACAAGTTGTATGGCTGATTCCCCCTTCATACACATCTTGTAAAAAGCATTGGAGGAGTTCTTGTGTTTGCTAAAAAAGGAAGTCAGCTGGAAGTGTAGTGCAGGAGTTAGAGCTTCCCAGAAGTCACTCTAGCTGATGTCATCTGACATCGTTGTACAGACAATGGTGATGGAGCCATGAAATCTTCAGAGAGATTTCAAGAGAGGATGGTCTAGGATCTGAAACAGCAGGAGATCTTACCTGTAGAAAATGGCATGAAGTAGTCACTCTTTTTAAAGGTACCATTTGCATTCAAGAAATGTCCTGGGTCAAATTTTTCTGGATTTGGAAATTCCTTCCTATCATGTAGGACAGAACTCAGCATGGGGAATATCAGAGTGTCCTGAATTAACAAAAAAGAAAGGTACAATGGAGATACATTAAAGCATGGAGGCACTAAGAAGTTCCCAGAGCTAAACAGAAGGGTAGTCAAAGTTTAACCAGTTTTAAATGAACATTTAATGCATGAAAATATGTGCATTGGTATGGCAAATATGTTTTTTTGTGAATTTTAGTAGAGTCTGTTTAGTAAAGAGTATTTAATATTGCTTCCAAATAAATTACAATTTACACTATTGTGAAAAAAACCCCAGAAATATCTCCCTCTTCATACAGAGGATGCAAAAGTATTTTCTTCTTTTTTTTTTTCCTAATACAAGGGATTGGACTCCATAACTTCCAGAATTGCCTTCCAAAAAAAAAAAATTCTATTCAGTATCACATTTCAATGCTTCTGAAAATAAATAAATTACACAGAACAAAACTCATAATTGTTTTCAAGAGATTATGACCTTTCTCAGACACAGTGTAACAAACCTTGGGGATAAAATAGTCTCTGAACTTGATGTCTCTGATTACAGCATGTGGGACATTAGTAGGAAGGAAATCAATGTATCTCTGGATTTCGTGGATCACGGCATCTGTAAAGGGCATCTGGCTCCGATCCGACATGCGAGGGCTTCGGTCTCGGCCGATCACAGAATCAATCTCCTTCTGCATTTTCTCTGTTGAGAAATCAGTAAATGTTGGATGAACAACATTTGTTTGCCTGAACCTCTCTCCGTATTTACAACAAAATATGCTTTCAGCACACCACAAATATATTATTATACTTAGTACTAACATCGGCTTCTTGTGAAGATATCCAAGACTTGCACATTTCCACACTGCAAAAGCATACTTCCTTAGTCAGGGGACTATTGTCACATGTGGTAGTGACAGGAATTGTCCATACTGATCCCACAACCTATTAAAAAGTTTTAAACTATTTATTTCCATTACCTACTATCTCTGGGTATTTATGGAGAATCAGAACTGCAAATCTCAGTGTGATGCTTGTGGTCCCTGTTCCAGCAAGGAACAAGTCAAGTGCTGTTCTGCTCAAAGTCTCAACGGTGAATTTTGAGTCATCATTCCCTTTCTCCTGCAGAAAGATTTGGCAGAAGGTTTTGAATGACAAACCCAAGAAGTTTGCTTAAAAAGAAAAATCCTGTACCCATAATGTAGGTTTATGAGCACATCTAATGTTCTTTCAAAAATACCGCAATCCCTTTCAGAACACCAGCATTTGTGGTAGGTTTACTAATAATATTATTATATGGAAGGAGCATTGAATATATCAACCAGATTGGTCTTCAGCTTTCATCAATTTGGCTCATGCTGTTTATTCTGTGTTTAAAAATCCTTGATAAGAAAATAGAGATGATAAAATGAAGTCAATGTGTCATAAAGAGCACGCTCCCCTCTGTATTCGCAAAAACCCAATGCCTCATCACAAGTAAAAAGAAAAGATCTGATTCAAGTAGCAATTTCTAGATAATCCAATAAATCTCTACATTTACAGTACCTGTTCCATTTTATTAAGAAAAGAATCAATAAAATCTCGAGGACAAGTGGGATCCAGTGTTTTCTGGTGTTCCATTACAATATCTGTTGTAAATTTATCAACTTTTTCAATATTTTTTATCAGTTGTTGATGAGGTCCAGGCAAATAATCCATGACATTTGGGAAGAAATTATATAGCTGTAAAAATAATTGGATGAAAAAGCACATTCTGATTAATGTGGATAAACTAAAATGTTCCTGATTGTAACTATGAAAATGGGGCAGTTAAACTGTTTTGGAGCAGTAGGTCTTTCTTACTCAGGATTTTATGGTCATTTACTTTATGGTTTCACTACATTCAGTTATTTGAATATTATAATAACTAACAAATGTATTAAATAAAACCAGACACACCTGTGTTTGTATAGAGGACTGGAGCTTGTTGTTTTCCTCCAGCCAATCAATTAAAGTCAGAAAACTCTTGTCCTCATAGTCAAACCGATCCCCAAAGACGATGGAGCAGATGATGTTAGAAACAGCATGGATTAGGAAACTGCCAGGGTTGAGGGGTTGCTCTGCAACAAACACCAAATAAAGGTATCTTACTTTCAGTATCTAATGGATCAACCCCTCCTATGACACTACAAGGTAATCTCACATTCTCTGGAGATGCAGAATTTCGCACTCCTTTGAAAGGATGGTGAAGAGCTTACCAACTTAAAGTGAACTAATTTCACTCTTACAGTGGTTTAAGTATCTCTTCTGTCTTGTTCTCAATAAACCCCTGGTCTGAGGGCCTTAATTGCTCTTCAGCTAGCACATGCCTATCTGTCTTATAGACTGTATTAGAAAGAGCCTAAACATTCCCACAAAATCACAATGAAACCATGGGGACTTTGCCTGAACCATGTCTTTAGGTTATTGCATTCTCTTTATTAACTTTATTAGTGCAACCTCAGTTATATAACCCTGTCCTTGGGGTAAAAATGCCTGTGATCTAAGTCTAGCTTTGACAGCACAGCTGTATGACTCCTGTGCAGAGATTTATGGTGTAAGCAAAAAGCAAGATTAGACCCAAGAAAGAAAGGAAAGCTAATTACAGACAGTGATAGGGTGCATCTCAAGGTTTCAAGATGAGAAACAATAACATGGAAAGATAAAAAATCCTGAAAGAAAACCATAGAGTGGTAGTAGAATATTCCAAGGAGCAATAGCACCAGTTTCAGAGGTAGTGAGTATATTAATGCTGAATGTAGAAGACACTAGTCATACCTATTAATTAATTGCATTAAGGGTAAATAATTTATACTGTATTTATACTTTTGGGTTGTATATATCTTACTTGTAAAACCTTTTAATGCACAGTAAAAGATGCTGCAACAAGGTGAGAGTTAGAGGCTTGCATAAGGGCATAAGAAATACTACTGTGGTAGTCAAAAGATAAAAGCAATGCAGGTGTGTCTTTTCTCTGATTTATAAAATGAATGTTAATCTGAGAAGACAGATTGTATTTTCTAGTGGCTCATGGAAACCAGTGATGCTTAATCATTCTTTTAGATCAATCTGCTTTTCTCCCCTGGCAGAATAGGCACATATTGAGGGCTGGCAATGAAAAAGGTGACTGGTACTCTACCACCCTCAGAGGACACATTTAGAAGTAATACTGACTTATATATTACTAGAAAACACTTTTACAGGTTTGAAACCAAGTGGGTAATGTTATACAATGCCCTCAAAAGCAGCTTATATTGGACAGCCCCACCAATACTGGGATGTATTGCCTAGTGTTCAGATGGACCCATCCCCAAATATCTGCAAAAGAGTTTTCTGGTCACCTACTTCTTCGAGATCTCCTGCAACACAGAGTTGCAGGAGACAAGGTGAAGAAGAGCATACTTGGTTACCTGACAGCATCCAGCACTGTCTCCATGGCTGAATTCCATGAAACCCTTGTCTCTAGCAACACCATTCCTTTTGCCCCTTCCTGTCCTGTTCCTCAAGCAGAATAGGTTAAAAGGCGCTTGCCAAGTCTCTTTCTCCTACTCTTATCCTCCATACTGCCACAGTGCCTTTGACTGACCCACTGATAACTTTGCCCCCAGAAGCAGGGAGCAGAAACAGCAGCCATACACCCACTCCTTGGGTCATAGATTTTGTGAAGCAGCCCTACACCCCTCATTGTCTCATTGCAGATATGCACAGTGTCTCAACAGGCACAAAGTCCTTATCATACCATGTGTGTTCCTGAGCCTCTCCACCAGAAAATGAGCTTCCTCCTGGATTCGCTCCTCAATGCCCTTTTTCCCCATCCCGAAATCCCGCAGGGTGGTGAGTGTAAATCGTCTCAGCTGCTTCCAGGTCTCCCCATTGCTGGTCACAATGCCTGATACAGGGAGGAAAAATAGACCTTCACGATGAAACGGGTTTTTTTGGAAGGTACACGGTAAGTACTCAGCATGCAAAGGCACCTCTCTGTGGAGTTACACTGCAATTGCTATCTGCCCAAAACCATAACTTCTCTGCAATTCTGAAGGTGGCAAATTTGATCCATCTGTCACAGCACTTGAATAAAACTGACTTTATTCCCAGGATAAGAAAAACGGTGTTACAAAGCAAGCAAGAAATAACACTGAATTGGTCTTGGACACAAGGCCTTTACACTGACATAACCACTCAAATGTTCTGCTGTGCACCTGCATAGAGCATATCATTATTGACAATACAAAAGGTACTGCACTGTATATATAACACCATGGAATATGTACTGTAAATGACATACCAGGGACCAACCTGGTGAATAATCTCATTACCTAATCTGGACTGTGGCCCTTACTGGGTCAGCCTGTATTATTTTATCTTTGTTGTGCTTTGGACTTTCCTTTCACTGGTTCCTTAGCTGTGTCGATATTCAGAATATTTTCAGAAATGGGACAAGAGACCTTAGAGGCACATTTAATGTACAAAATTTTACTCAGAGCTTGCAGCACACTGGAAATAAAGTCACTCAGTGAAGCCATCCTGGGACCTTAAACAGTTCTCCAGAGGACCAGTTTACTCAAGGGTTCAAGTAATGAGCTGGGTTTTTTTCCTTTAATTGCTAATTTGTCTGCATAAAAGTAGCAAATGAAATCTACATGCCCCTCTGCAGTGCCCTCTCAGCTGTGTTTCTGAAGCTCTGAAAGCATCTGTTTTGCATGCTGTCATTACCAAGAACATACCTGTGCCTTGGAAGAGTTTTTTAATCAGTGGTAGAATGCCTCTTCCACTGAAGTCATCTCCTTGATCAATCAGAGCTTCTTTTACAACATCATAGCCATACAGCACCACAACCTTTTGTGGGCCCAAATGTACTGTGAAGACAGGACCATACTTCTCACTGAGCTGTAGGAAAGGTGAGCACAAAGAACAACATGACAACATCAGTGATAATCATGCAATGCTTGTAGGTCAAAGAACTCTGAGAGGTGATGTGTCATTGTCCAACACTGTTGAGACATAACATTGATTAACAACAGTGCAGAAATCTTCCAATTATGAGTTACAGACAAGGGAAGAGGGAATCGTACAAGAAATAGGGAATATGAATAGAAATGGCAAGTATCCAGTCCAAATCTGAGAAAAGAAAATAGCCCTTCATAGGCCTGGCAAAACCTTTCAGAATACCTTTGTGCAGGGCACAGTGGCTAACAATTTACATGAGCTCTAAAATAGTTTAAATACACAATATGGAAGCAAATGCCTAAAGGGCTTTTGATCACTGTCTCTCAAAGTGGTATTTTTGCCAGATGGGTGACATCAGTCAGAGGAGGGAATGGACAGCACAATTCACCTCCAAACGTTTTTACTTCAATGTCTGCACTTGCTACTTCCACTCCCAGGACATCCTTTATGATCATTGCAAATATATAGACTGACTTATAATATATGGACATATATATATTTATATATATATATACCTGTAATATATAGACTTAGAAATACAATAGATTATTGTGATTATATATAGGCTTAATAAGCATGTATATCTGGGAAACCATTTGTTTCTCTTTAACATTTGGTCAATGCAAATTAATCTTGTGAATTTAGCTGAGAACGGCAGGACTGGACTTTGTTTTTTACGCCATGAAGACAACATAGGAAAGAATATAAGACAGTCCCTTACCTCTTTCATGCTTTCAGGCAAATTCCATGGGTTTATCTGGAGCAGGTTTCCAACAATGGGGAATGGAGTGGGACCAGGAGGCTCCTTCCCTTTTTGAGATCTGCTTCTCCATGTGGCAAAGAGAAGGCATGAGATGCATACCAGCAAGAAAACAGTGGTCACTCCCAGGGCCTCCATGGTGGGCTGAGGAAGAGAAGTCAAGTGTCCGAAAAGCCTGCTGCTGGAGCAGTAAATCCATGCTTATTTATATGCTGTGGTGCCAAAGCACATGGTTGAAATTAGGCAATAGTGTCTTGTCATTCCTTTCAAGATACGAGTTTACTTATTAATCTGCTAGTGATAAGAATGAATGTTACTAAAGCTGACTTTGTGTGTCATGTAATAGTCCTAAAGCAATGGTAATTAAGACCTGGCAAAGCCCTGGTAGAGAAACAAGTAAACAAGGGATGAGAACATGTGTAGAGAAAAGAAGACAGTAAAATCTGTAGCTTAAGAAGGGGAATGGGAGTATTAGATGAATTAAAAAAATAAATAGCTTTCATTACCTTAGGAAATCTCTGTGTAATAAGAAAGAGACATGACATTACTCTTAAAATAATCCTGAATGAGAATCTGCAGAAGAAGATTGGCTATCTCTGTTTATCTCTGATCTATGAAACTAGTGCTCAAAGACAATGCAGTGGATAAGGCTGGCAAGAAAAATGAAGCGTGTCAAACACTTACAGAATATTCTGAGTTGGAAGGGACCAACAAGGATCATCTAGCCCAACTCTAAAGTGAATGGCCCCTACAGGGATCAAACACACAACCTTGACATTATTAGTACCATCCTCTATCAGTTTTGCTAAGCTCAGTATGAGTTGTCTGTAGCAAAATCTCTCTGCACAGTTCTGTTTGGAACACCTTTCTCTTTTTTGTTCTCCCTCCTCCCCCTGCCACCTTTCCCTTTATTTTTTAGAAGCTTTATATGTTACAGCCCCAGACCCCTAGCAGGGGAGAGAAATCCTCAATGCTCTCTGGGTAGGTCTTGCCCCACAGAAGAGCCCTCGCCTATCACCCCATAGTCTCTGGTCACACTCTGACCACTCTCCTGCTCTTTGCTTCAGGCACCTGGGTCTCTGTAAAGCACCTACTGACAATGGATGAGCATTAAATTGGTGTCAGTGTCCTCTGGCAGGGCCTGTTTCTCTTCACACACTAAGGAGGGAGCTCATCCAGATTTTCAGACAACTAATGTCAGATTAGGGGTATCCCACCCAAACAACCATGTCAGGGACCATTTCAGTCAGAGAAACAGGCTCTGCCACCTGCCAAGACTCTTCCAATCCCATTCCATCATTTGACACATAGCCAAAATGATACTGACCCCTCAGATGCTGTGATGCTGCAAGGATGTATTAAAATGCATATAATCATATATATCCTATATATAAGAATACATATCCTATACATAAGAATATATATGTATCTTAATCTCCTCTTTGTCTCCCTGATGATGGTAATGGAAACCAATTTTTCTTCCTGCATGAACTTGTTGGCTTAGAACTTGAGTCCACATTTGTTCAATCAGTTTTTGAGTGTTCATGTGTACAAAAATAACCAGACATACTGTAAATGCCACACTTTGTTCTTTACTGAGTTGTCAGAATGGGGTTTAGGGATGGGTAGATTTTATCTTTAGCTCAGTTAGCTAAGTTCGAGCAGATTCTATAACAGTGAGGAAAGAAACATATCCAGCTTAAATTTAGATATTAAAAAGATGGGTGCACAAATGAGCTGACAGTCTCACCTGTGAGTGGGGAAATACTGATACTTCCAGAGAACAGGTCATCTCACTTTGCTTATGAGCTTATTTTTGTGACATGAGTCAGTCACCAAAGAAGTTTGTTTTCCCTGACTACAAAAAAAGGCTCTGGAGACATACAGATTTACATGTCTGTCTGCCAAGGATCTGTTTTGAGGCAGATGACTCTAATTCCCTGGTCATTTCTCCTGGTCCTAATGGGGTTTTTTTATCAGCAACAAATTCTGCAAATTCCAGTACAATAGGCATTACTCTGAATACTGCACACCAGGGTATTTAAAACCAGAAGTGGGCAGATGAGTGAAATTGAAAGGCACCTTCTAGGCTTTGGAAGGGATAATTATATTGCTGAAAAAAGTCAGTTTTATCATCATCAAGAAAAAACTCTAGCTGTTTGATTTTGCTTTTCCTTTGCTTTTGTAGATAAAGTGCCTTGCATTCCTCTATTGGCAGCCCTGAGGGTGAACAACTGCTGTGAAGCCTAATGCACTGGAAAAGCAGAGCTTTGCATGCAGCATCATCCCACATCCAGACAGGGATTTTTTATTATTTATCTAATTACTCACATAATCCCCAAAGGATTTCAAAATGGTGTTGGGAATAAAGCCAGAGCTGCTTGGAGGGATCCATGAGTTTAACTGGGAAGAGGTTTAACTGCCAAAGGTCTTGGGTCACCTCTGATGACAGAAAGACAGTGATTATTTGAGTGTGAAAGGCTATTGGGGTATGAAAGGTTTATCTGGGTCTGAAAGACCCATCCTGATATAGTTCACATTCACAGGAAGCACCTAAGAGACTCTGCTTCCTTCCAAGCTTTCTCCCCAGTGTGGTAGGAAAGCAGGCGCTTGGGCCTCTGGTTTTGTTACAAATTTGCACCATTCTCTGGCTCCACCTGCAAATTCAAGCTCAAATTGACAGGGTGGGATGCTGCTGTAACCAATGTTTCCAGTTCCAGCCTTCCTTAGAATGCCTCTGGAAGCTGTTGCTTTGCTGGGCCTACCTAGTGGCGTGGATGGGCCAGCTCCTAGGATTCCATCCTGTGTTTGCATGTAGCCTTTAATCTCGGGCCTGCACTTAATCAACTTGCTTCTGTTGTGCTCCAGATTAGGTCTGTGAGAAAGCAGACACCTTTTTCTCCCCAGAACAGCCCCTTCAAGTGTGTTCACCGCCTGCTCAGGCATACTGGATCTGGCTCCCTTGCAGCTGCGGTGTGGTGCCACAATTTAGATTTGTGACAGTGGCGAGGACTCATGAATAGACTTAAGAACATTTTAGTAATTGAAATAGATAATGATGATGATGATGGTGATGATGATGATGATGATGATGATGAAATTATAAAAATGAAACTCAAGAAAGCCAAGTAACAGAAACTAAAAGGAATTGCTCACTACCAACCAAGTGATGCCCAGTCACTGCTGAGCAGTGGCCCCCAGGCTATTTCTCTCTATTTTATTCATTGAGCATGTTGCCATATGGTATGAAATATCCCTTTGAACAGTTGAGATCGGCTGTCCCAGCTGTGTCTCCTCACAACTTTTTGTGCTACCCCAACCTATTTGCTGGCTGCGTGGTAAGAGAATTAGGAAAGAACTTGGGGCTGTGCAGGCACTGCCCAAAAATCACTAAAACATTCCTGAATTATTAACACTGTTTCCAGCACAAATCCAAAACATGCCCCCATACCAGCTACTATGGAGAAAACCAACTCTACCCATCCAAAACCAGGAGAGGAAGTTGGCAGAGTAGCGTGTGAAATCATCTTGCCTGTTCTGCTGTGAATAGCAACATCTTAGCTACTAAGGTTTTGCTGTTTTCAGACAGGACTTTCCTTAGTGCTGCGTAGAAAATACAGTATCAACCTCTGCCTTATTTCTGGCAGCAACTTGACGAAGAAATCTGTCATGGTCAGCAAGTATTAAGGTTCAGTGATATCTTCAGTATTCAACAATTTGTGGAACACCCATATTTGTAAAATGCTACACGTTGTACTACAGATAAGATACAAACTACATCATTTGTTTTCAGATCACAGAAATTACATTTGACCAGCTAGATCAAAAAACTTGGTTAAATATTTATGTATGCACTCACTAGACTGAAAACATAACTCAGCTGAAAAAGGATGAAGTCAATGAAGTTCATCAGTCATGCGCAATACATTGCAAACTGCTTTTTAGTAAGCAGAAGGGCAAGGAAATGAAACTCATAACAGCCTTCCCACTGGACCTGTACTGTGACTCCACCAACAGTAAGTCACTATGGTGCAGCTATACCTCATCATCTCTCAGTAAGGTCCTTAGTTCTCGACTCTGGTCAGCGTAAAGAAATAGCAGGCACTTCCCCAAGTCAGGAAAAAAAAGAGCCAGGAAATGGGAAAGGTCAATCAGGTGCTATACATGGTAAAAAGAGGCACAGAAGTGAAGGCTGCCAGTTTCAAAGAGGGAATCTGAGCTTTGCAGATTCCTGTGAGTGCTGCTCTCAGCTACCTGCATGAGCAGCTGAGCTCCTGGCCGGCTGCAGACCCACTGTGGTGTACAGCAGGTCACCCAGAAGGTCTGTGCTCTGGGAGACAAAGAAGCAAAAGGGCAACATTATCAGCTGTCCCCAGCTGTAACACCGTCATCACGGGGCACGGTGCCCACTGTGCCTTTCCAAAGGCTGACAGGGAGCCTGCAGGACAAACAAGATTTGAGCACAGAACTGTTCAAACTTGAGCTAGGACCTTAACTAGAGGCATTCTGCAACTTTAGAAAATTACTTATCATCAACACAAAAAATCATGGAAGCATATAATTTGCTGGTAGTCTGTATGCTCTGAAAACAGTGCATATCACAAAGAAAAATGGTAACAGAAAAACTCACAAAATAATTTAAAATTCAAGAAGAATTCAGTAATCATCAAGCAACAAAACTTTTGTTAACATTTCATGATATAAAATAACTACAGTCATAAGAGAAACAGATGATAAATCAGGCATTTAAAACACCAAAAAAGCAGTAACTGATGCTGACAGCAATGATAAAATGTTTGCCTTTATCCTGCCTTTCAATCCTGCCAGAGACAGAAGCACAGAGGTAGCAGAGTGGCTTTAGAAGATAAGGGAGGAAATGAAAAAAACACAGCCCCAAGAAGTGACCCCAACAAAGGGCCCATGCAAAGACTCTTCTGCTTCAGATGTCATCCCTGTCTCCCTCAAGTGTGAAAGTGGCTGTTTCCCCCCTCCCTACCACCGCCTTCTACACATATCACTCCCTCTGGATATGGTGATGCCTAATGCATTCTCTCTCATAAAATGAAAGATGTCCCCTATCCTTTTTCATTTTTTGGAATAGTGAAAGATGAGAACATTAACTATGATTTATTTTCCCACTTAAA